TGTTCTTGGTAATTTTATATATATGTTCCTCTGGCTCTTTATCTTTCTCTTGCAAAATCCCCATAACATTACAGGAGAAAAAGGTAAGGAAAAATTACCAGTGACCACTGACCATGTCAAAGTACTGGAAAACCTGCGAGATTGCATCCAGTAATTTTACCGTTTTCGATATAGGAGAGTTAAAAATCACGGAGAATTCTCGTTGCATTTTACCTGGAAGATTGGTCATTTTAATGACTTCTCTTTAGCATAAAATCGCATATTCGCCTAATGCACCCACTTTTGGTCGTCATGAGTGGCATAATCGATTAGTAAAATTAAGTGTTTGGATCCCGATTTTTGGCGATTGAAAATCTGGTCTTTGGTCACTGTGCGGCACGAGACTTACCGAAAACGGGTGTCAGTGGGTGGTTGAGCTGACCTCTACTCCGAGGGCCTGAGGCTCGAGAGATCCTGGATAAAAAATTCAACGCTAAGTCCGTTTCCATTTTCGTTCCGACGGCTGAGGCGCCTCATAATATCTCGAATTTGATTTACGCTAAGCGATCTGGAGTTTGCGTCCCGCAAACCAGTGATTAGGCCTCCACTGTTAATGAGCCTAGCTAGCTAAGAACCGCATGTTGAAAAGCGGGGAAAATTATTTTTCCAACAACAGTATACCTCTTAGTCGATATAAATTTACTAGGGCAGCAAAACTAGCGGCTCCTACGCGGCCCGACCTCAAAAAGACGCTCCATGCCCTCAAAAAGTCACTTCTTTTATCAAATTTCAAAATTTTAAAGAAATTTAAGTTAGGTTAAGACGAGAGCCTAAAATATTAGTTCCGTATCGGAAAATGTAGTCCAATTGTTCACCCTCTTCTCATAATCTTGTATTCTTGCTTTCAATTGTTTTGCTAAATTGCATTTCTTCAAACTTTCTCATACTTCTCATCAGGCTGGTAGTAACGCGAATTTCGGTTCGAAAGTTTGGGCCACAGAGTGGCTAGGGTCCGGACTCCCTAGAAATAGTTGCTAGGCGTTTTCTGCAGTGAAACTCCGTTAAAAGTTGTTTGGTTAACCTATTATTTTCACAAATTTCTTACTTAACCTAAAGAAACGTGTGGAGGCAGCACATGGTATACTCGTCGTTTTCCAGACGAAGGAACGTAACTCAATCCAGGGTTGCAAAATTGGCTCACACAATTCAGTTTTTTTAACAAGAGTACACCTATGAAATGGCGTTCAAAATTTGTCTGATTTTCGCATGAGATTAGGAGAAAAATCAAAGCAAATTTTCAATCAGAAATGCCTAAGATTCTCGTGGTAAAATGCAATTTGTTGAGGAGAGATTTGGCAACATTGAAATGAATTTACGTTCTTTCGTGATGGAAACGACGTACTATAGACATAGTTTTTTTCGTAATTTTAGGTCATATCAATAAGCTGCGCGGTGGGGCCGAGAACTTGAATCCGGTTGACCAACACAGCGCGTGTCCGTTCACATAAAACTGCGGCGAGTAAAAAACCGAGTTCGATTCGAACCGTAATTCGGAGGGTGTGGGCTCACGAGCTATGCGTCTGCCGGTCAAATTTACGAGACTATGCGGGCCACGGGCAGCGAACAATAGTCTTTAACTAATATGTATGGGGCCCAAATCCCGATCTATGTTTTTTCCAGCAGCTGGCGCGCGCTGCCCAACGTCGTAAAATTCATTCAAAATTGAGCTAGCGGGAACTGGACGCCCGGAGGTTGGCCCGGTGGTTTCAGCTTCTGCTTTGTTTCAAATGTGATGTAAACTTGAATGATTGTCCGTTTGAGTCGATTTCCAACCATGAACGAGCGAGGCTACTCCAATATACCATGGACTACTATAAGATGTAGCCAATTGAAGAACGCTGAACATTGTGTAAAAAAAGGTGGACTGACTTTTTGTTAGGAATATATCCTATTGAATAGAGCCCGTTTCGCCCTGATCTACGCGGCTTTCCTCTTAGTATGAGGATCTTTTCTTCCTGATTAGCCATTAAGCACAGGATGCCTGAAAGTCTGCGCTGGAAAAAGAAGAAAAATAAGAGAAACTAATGTTTTGCTATTACGAATCGAACGGTGTCCTTCATTTAGGAAACTATTCCATTTGTCAAATCGAATTTTAGGTTCACTCAACGAAACTGGAAAAAGCAGCGTTACTCTAACCGTTGGACAAACCGAACACATAATCTACTCGATACCGGACTCGGAACATTCAGTTAGCATGATTGCACTCTTTTTTAGTTGTGTAAATTAGAATCAAAACAAAAAAATTAAATGAAAAAACAAAAGTAAAATGGGAGCTGAAAAGATTGCTGTTTGGCTGATGATTCGTTATTTGCTGACAACTAAAATTGCTAAAATTGTCCTCAAGAGTATAAAGTTCTTTTGAAATTTTACTTGGGGATTTTTAAATAGTATCACGTGAGTTAGTTCACTCTTGGGCAAATACTTAGCTCTCTACTCTGTTCGAGTTCTGAGTCACTAATCCTGAGGAATGACAAGCGTGATCAGGTCGATAACCAGCGGATTTACTTATTTCTCTCGTTTTCTTTTCATTTTTTGCACACCTAAATCTTAAACACCTCGGATTGGTCAGCATCTTTTTCCGTGTCGCTGCCACTGTTCCACTTTATTTGTTTTGTCTCCCTCGGCTCCGCTCTAGATCAGCCGGCTCGGTTTTCTCAAAACAACTCAAATCCACAGGCATGTTGCAACGACCGGACAAAAATTGTCAGGTGTTTCAAATGTTAGATGTGTTGAGAAGTATCCGTCTGGAGGCATCTTGGGTTGTTAATATCGTTGTTACAAATATGTGCGACAGAAGTGTCCACTATAGTTGACGAAAATAGACGTCACGCACGAACAAAACACTACTCATTGATCCTGCACCTTATCGCAAAAGCTGTCGGCAGATCTCATATTTCGCCCGCAAAACCGAGCGTATGCAACCCGCCTCACCGCGGAGTTCGAATAGTTGTATGTTAGGTTCGAACCCAACTTCGCGTAATTCGTCCAATTCTTCTCGAATCAAAATGCGTGATACATTTCTATCAACGTCGAAGCAGGTCACATTGCATACTCCTCGAAGTGTGGGAAAACTGAATATTTTGCCATATTCATACATATGACAATAACTATCAGGGCAATATTCACAGTAGCCTCTTCAAATTTAAGGCATTTCTAGTCATTGTGATGCGGACGGATCACTGAAGCCTTGAACTCAAAGAAAGAACAATGAACACTGCTCCCCAACGACCAGCAACCAAAAATCAGTCTCCAGAACATGAATCATGGGCAAGATGGATCCAAAGAAAAGAGTTTCAAGTCCAAACTTGTTCCTTTGCTCCAGCCCAATTCGCAAGGAGGAGGACTCATCAAACTCACGGTCATTAAGGAGGCGATCGGTATTTTTTTGCATCTTTTTTTTCTTCTTCTTGGGTTTGTTTTCTTTTTTTTTTCGTGTGCGAATGATAGTATCGGAACCGGAGTCACTACGTCTGCGTATTTGTTCAGACAACACTTTCCATTCCATCGGGAGGCCTGCTTTGACACGCTCACGCCTCACGCACCAGTCGCTTCCATTCTTCGCCTGATGAGTTACCAGTTACCAGTTACCTGCTTTGCCGACTGACTCACCGTGCCTCTGCCTCCGAAAGCCGCAGAGACCTTATCCGTTTACCGGGGCAGGAGGACTCCACGCGCTGTTGACAAATTCCGATCCGTGTTCTCTGTAATTACACCCTCCATTGTCTTCTGCGATATTTGAACCTAAAAGTCAAAACGACACAAGTGACTGCGGCAATTTATAGCAAATCGGTAGTCACCAGTTAAAATAGGTTACAGAGTCCCTTTAATACTGACAATAAAGGTTGCTGTTTCTGATTGGTTTCCGTATTTTAGGCCTCCAGTGTCCCAAACGAGAAAGAAAGGTTACATTTTCATCGATTGCACCGGACTGGAAAATTAGGGGTACGGCAGGGGACATACGGAATGAATAACAATAGTAATAACTGTTAATTTAAATCAAAATACTTTAAGTATAAAAATGTATAGATAGAATAAAAGCCAAAAGATAAGAACGATGATCTAATTTATTCCATCCGTATTATTCGCCTCGTGGTGCATTTTAATGCTACGGACGTTGAATAAAACATGTTTCCAAATGAGTTTCACCCCTTTCAGAAATATATTGCACCCCGGCTGCTGTAACCTTATTTATTTTTCACTAGATTCTCGTTGTGATGGCTCAAATTTTTAGTTTTCACGTTCATCGCATCTATTTCCCTAGGGCTAATGTGCTGGTTACACGGTCAAATTTCCATCAATTTCCGATCAAATGGTGACTGGTGCGCACCATCTACCATCAAATTTCTGCGGCCTGCAAAAATTTGATGGTAGATGATGGAGCTGTGGGGCTCATCCTTCATCTGATTTCCACACAACCGTGCTTATTTCAATCAACACGATGTTTTAACTAATTTTACTCATCAATCTAGATAACTCTCGACCGCCATCTTGGTCATCATGTTGATCGGAATTTGACGGAAATTTGAGCATGTAACCAGGCCATTATACCTCCGTTGTTCCGAAAATGCACCTGGTGCCAAAGAGTAAAGCTAACTTTTAAAATTCTACCATCAGTATAGCTCCCGCTGTAAGTTTAAGGAAGAAGTCAAGTATTTACTAGGTTTTTTAAAGCTGTTTAGCCCAAAACGAGATCTTTCGTCAGGATGAGGAATTCAATAATTCTCAGGTCAAAGCGACACCGATGCGAAGATGCGCCAGGTGGATGTGCCTCTGCCGTGCCGTGGAAGTAGGAGAGAAGAAACGGAGGAAAGGAGAGAGAGGAGAGAAAGGACGATTTCTCGTTCGCGCGGAGAGCCAAGACGCCGCGCTGCGCGGGGTGCACCGGCCGCGATNGGGGGGGGGGGGGGGGGAGAGCCCGCGGCGGCCGAGTTTTGAATCCGCCGTCAGTTCTGAGTCGTGGTTCGTAGCGAGGGCACGTTCGTTCGTTGTCCACTCTCGCCTGTACTCGCTGGTGTTTTTCTGTGTTTACGCGGAGTTAACCCGATTTTACCCAGGATTTTGGACGGATTTTTCATCGCACTTTTCGCGTATTTTGTGTTAGTGAACTGTAGCACTGTCTTACTTTTCACATTCTCACCGATTTTGAACTGTTCAGTACGAAGTTATTCAGACGTTGTTTTTTTTCAACGGAATTCCAAATACATCGTGATTACGGAACGTTCACTGCATTTTACTGGATATTATTGCATCTTACTTCGTTGCATTTCTTGTGTCCTGTGCCACATCCTTTAATATTTGTGCATCTTTTCCCAATATTTTATAACCCTTTATAACGCTCTTTTTTACATCGTTTTTAACGGCCACCCACTCAAATTCAAACAAATTTAACGTTTTTTAGTGCACACACTAGTTTCATTATTCTGGAGCCTTGCGTATAAAAAATATAATCAGTGTTTGTTTATTCAATTCTGTGACCCACATATCGTTCGTGCGCGCTTCGAATCCATTCAAACGTTTGAGGTTATGTCGCTACCCTTTGACTGCAACCCCTCCGTCACAATCCACCCCTATCTGTGCACAAATCAACTGTCAGCGCTTTGATCTGTGCCTCGCCGCTATCACAACGAAACGAATGCAGTAACGGTCTCGCGTGCCGTCCACCCCCCGTGCCGATTCGTCAGTTCGGAATCGTGGAACTTACAACTCCGCCGTCGGAACCGAGAAAGTCGGCCCGTTTTGTGGTTAGTCGCGCTGTTGGAGTGTTTTTTATCGGTGCAATTCGTTAACTGGTTGCACTAGACTTTCCTCGCGACTAGTTATTGTTTTATATATATAATTATATATATAATTGTACATATATAAAGCGGATCTTGTTGGAAACTCGACGGTGGTTATCGGTGACGAGACCGCAGCGAAGCTCTGGAGTGAAAAATCGTGCTCGTAGCATGGAAAGTGGAAGTGGGGCGTTGTGTGAGTGCGCCGTGTGGGTTGTGTGAGTGCGTTTCACGGTGGCCGGAACGGGAACTTCGGGAGGCTGGACGCATGCAGTGATGGGGGTCCTCCGATGGCGCGACCGCAGCAGCAGACACGCGGCGGAAGCCGGCGTCTCCAGCTCCACCAGCTCGCTGGCCTCACCTAGCTCGCCGACCCAAAGCATCATGACGTCAGCCAACGAGGTAGGTTGAAGGTAACCGACCCGGTTGCCGAACTTCCCCTAGATTATCGCGGGTCCAACCGCCGAGCTTACCGAAATCCACGGAGGACGTGGAGCCTCCACTGGAGTCCCGCGATTTTGAGTAAGAAGGGTTGAGTGGAAATCGCGGATTCCGTAGCACATGGTCCTTTGGGCCGGATAGCGAGCGAAAGTCCTATCACACAACGTCGCCTCTCAGACGAGGAAGCGTATCACCATTCCGAGGCAAAGTTGACTCGAAAAATACTTTTTTTGCATGACTATCACCGTGTGACTTCATCCGTGGACAATTTTGCTGATTTTTGCGCGTGCATAGGAGAAAAATCAGTGAACTTTTCAGGCAGAAACTTCTAACAGTTTCCTAGCAGAAGTTAAAATTGCAAGTAGTAACTTTGCAACGCCATGTGACGATATGAAGTTACGTCCATTCGGCTGCAGAAAAATGAAACGGTCCTTCGTTGAAGTCGATGCATGCGTCAGATTGCTAACGTAAATAGTCACCGCCTAAGATATAACAGAAATTTCGCTCTCTATACGGTCTTTTGGGGCGGACATAAGTATGTACCGCTTGGCATGATTAAAATTTAAAATAATAAGGTCTCCATGCGTCAAGCGACTCGCCCTAGGTGGTGCGCTTACTTTTCTGTGCTGCGTTAAAGTCTCTGAAATGATTCCTGCAATTTGACGTGCAGCATTCTCTCACGTGGTTCAGCATCAACATGATCACATTTATTGACACATTCTACTTCTTATAACGTTCTCTTCTGTCATCAGAAAGCTATTTTGTCGTCCAAATTCAGCATGTTCTGTCTCCAATTTGAGAATATTCTATAAAAGAACTTTATACCTACCTTTTCCAAAGCTTGTGGAATGTTCCTCTTTCCTACTGAGCTCCTTGCCTTTCTTCAACGAAAAATTAGAAAAAAGAATTCTATCATTAGTTATGTAAATCTTGTCAATCAATGCTCAAAAAGAGAAGACGTTCAATGAGTCTCGTCCAAATCAATCTCATCAGATAAGCACCAATGTACTTATTTTTAATAGATCTCTGTTGAAATTTTGAAGGTCTAGCAACCCTCGACGCCCTGAGACTCTCGAAAATAATGCGTCTCAAGTGTTCCTCATGATAATTATTTTTTTCTCTTCCTTTTTTCATCTGATTAATTTTGGTACAAATGTCTTCTTCCTCAATTTTTTAAAGGCACCTGATAAAAAGTGCGTAAATGATAGACGATGAGAAACTATAAGACAAGTTCAATGATGTTTTAAAAGTAAAGCGATGTCCGATTGAAAAACCTCTGCGTTTTTTATCGGTGCGAACCCGTGATCTTTCACTATTTGACAACTCTGTCGTCTAAAAAGCCGGTGGCCTTCCTGCATCCCTGCATCCGCATGTCCCCAAGTCCCGGGGCTAAGCAGCCTCCCTTCGATCCCAGTCCCTTCCCCCGCATTTCCGTTAAAGCGCATTGTTATCGGAATGCTTAATCCATTTGGTCCCCTCTCACCTGTCACACTGCTGCCAACGCTCAACTCCTCGGCCCTTTTTTTATCACTTCCGGCTTTTTCTCAATCATTTTTCGTTACCCTGACGGAGAGATGGTGACTCAAATGAAGATTTATGTTCCTAGCTCTACTGTTAAATATTTTTCGAGGGTGGATAAGGATGTACAGTCTCAGGAAAATGGCTGCATTATTAATCAACAGGCTGCATAGCCAAAAAGGCCAAGAAAAAAGTGAAGAAATGAAAGTCATTCCTGGAATTCATAAAATGTGCTGTCTTTTACCTCTATTATCACGTTTACAACATTTTCCTGAACATTTTACCCGGACTTGGGATCTCTCAGTAAAAAGCTCGTTTTTTTCTCAATTTAAATATTGGAAATTTTGAAAACTTTCTCGTAGGTACGAGGAGCTGTATACTTACTTCTCCGTCGTATTGAATGTTTAATTATGCAACGATGGAGGTGATAGCTTGATTGGAGCTCACTACAAGTTTCTTGACTCGAAGTCATTTATCAAACTTTCGTTGAAGCGAAACGCTGTCAAGTGGAAAAGTCTACAGGACGCCATTTTTAATTGAAATTCGGGCTTGATCATTTAACAAGAGAATTTTAGAATGCAAGACTCGACGAAACTAATCAACTGTGAAAACAACAGATTCAACACCGTACCAAACGCAACAGAGGTTTTTTACGGTCATCTTTGTGTCATCAACGAAATTTTTTACAGCCCATCTTTGATAATATTTAATTCGAGCTCGAAGGGGTGTGAACGAGACCTTAAGCGAGAGAGACATTTTAATCAGAACAAAAGAGCAAGTAGAAGTTTGCTCAAAAGTTGATGGAAACGAGGCGAGGTGAACGTCAAATTCGGAAAAGGGCGTGATAAATTGTGCACGGACACCTGCCTGGATGCGCTGAATAAAAATCAAGGGATTTTTTGATGAATCGTTAACAACTGCTCTAACGTAACTTAAAAAATCTAGTATAAATTACCCAAGGGATGAGTTTAAACGGCCCCGACTCCCAACCCAATTAACGCTCTCCCCATCACCAAGTCCAGCCGTGAAAAATGCACTTGCAGCCCGTGCAGTTGACCTATTTCCCGCGATAACAGCCGAAACCCGGATGGGAACAATCCGTCGTTTGGCATGGCGCGATACTCGCGATTTTCAAGCCGAAGGACCTCTCTCCTCCCCCGCTTTCCTCTCCTCTCCTGCTCTCCCCCGGGAGGCTGGGGGCGGGGGAGGGGAGAGGCTGCTGCATGTCTGCCAGAGATAAAGCAGATCCAGCAGCCGTGCTTTAATCCGGCCGTCGTCGACGAGATCGCGAAATGTTGGCGAAGTTTAAACCCGCTTTTCGCGTCCCGTCGCCGCCTCCCCCGCCCGCCGCGGCGCTGTCCTCAATCCGGAACTCCTCTCCCAGATAATGCGAAAATTTTTCGCAGGCGTGGGAGGATTTTGCCTCTACAAAGCTGTTTTTCAGTGCGGAGTACGCAGAGGGCTAAAAAAGATAAAAGTTTGAAAAAAAATAAATAAAATAAAAGAGCATTATAATTTCGATTAATGCAATCATTCCTGAAAAATGAACGTTTGTGCCTCAAAAGCAGCGATAATTCAGTCAATAACAGCATTCGTTTAAATGTTGCAGAAAAAAGCTCGAAAATTTCCTCTTAAGCCGGACTTGCAGTGATCAAAAATTGCCGGTCAGTAAAAGGCTAAGATAGATATTGAAAGTTTCGGTCGGCTACTTGTATGGCTGCAAATTGTCTGATTAGAACATAACCTTACGCCCTGTTTTTGGCAAAAAAGAGACGAGAGAGGGAGAGAGAGAGAGAGAAAGAGACGAACTTAGGTTATCTTAGATCAGAGGGGTGGAAAATCTTTCAGGGAGAACTTCGTTCGAATGTCGCAGGTAAAAATCCGAGTTTACGATTTTCATCCGCGACTTTCGATCAAAGTGCGTCCTGAAAGACTTTCCACCCCTCTATGTCGATAATCGCTTATCTAAAAACTGTTTAAAAACAGTTCCGCGGGAAACTGAGGTCTCACCTTATGCAAGAAAATGAACGACCAAATTTCGCATTTTGCATGCACGAAGTGACAGTGTAGCTCAGAATATCGCGAAGCTGGGAGCATCAGATACCAGCTGAATCCTCTCGCAGAGCTGTGTTTGTGATCTGTCCACAGCACCCGCACCCCACGACCAAATCGCCTCGAAACGCGAATATTTTCGCGGGGTAGAATCGAAAGAAATCACGGCAAATTCGCACCCCGCTTCGCGACGGTACCTCCGCCGAGATGGAGATTAGCAGAACCCCGGAAGGCGGCCCTTTTTCAATTGATGCTTTGCGATAAGTCGATTGATCTGCCATATAAACCTATAGAAAAGGATCGATAATCAGGGTGTTCGCAGCGAACACCTTAATAGTCGATTCTTTACCATAGGTTTAAACGGCATAACAATCGATACATCGCAATTCACGTCACGCCACTGTCCGGAGTCGCTGAGCTTGCTCGTCTGAGCGATTGGTTTTTAAATTCGTCGTCGGGTTGCAGATTCCGAGATCGAGACGCCGGAATTAAAGGCTGAAGACTGCACTTTTTCTACCTGGATTTTTATCTTCCTTGAACCGCAAAAAAACGGAATCGGAATTGATTCCCTGCTCTTGTTCGAATGGATCATCCGCATTTAAGTACGTTGAGGCTGAGGAGGAAAAAAGTCGTTTGAACACTCGGACGCTGCCAAATTTCCTCTAAAATTGCTTATAACGAATGATTATTTTATCCGAGTGAAATACAATGATGTTGGAGTATTCCTTTCTTATGTCACTTTTTGTGCTTAGCAAATCACTATATTTATGCTTGATTTATGAAGTCATAATTATTGATAAATTCGCCGAACAAAATAATGAACCGGGTTAAATCATTCAACTGTTCATAACTATTTGTAAATTTTTCAATGAAAGATTACAAAAAAACCAGGAAAAATAATAATACACGTCGAATTAGTTCATGAACACGTCAGTAAAAATCCTCATTCACGATTGCATACATATATATCAGCGGTCCTGATAGTGTGCATTTCGACATTCATGGCGCGAGTATTAGGGGAGCAGAAGTGAGTGGCAGGTAAACCGGTTCTTAGTGGCGGTGGCTGGTTGGACCGTGTTGCGAATCCTCTCAAAGCTCGACCTGTGGGCTTTGGCCATTGGACCAAGTGAATAAATATTTATTTATTCTCTGTCTTTTCACCAAATATATATGTCTTGGTCCATCCCGCAAGGGACGCAGTAAATCCGATTTTATACATTTTTGATGTATATATCGTCAAATCGGATGCGGATACTGATGTGTAGCAGCAGGTCGATTCACATCAATGGTTGAACTTCGATCCTAGTTGACAGAGAGATCAATGAGTGATTTAATTGGCACAACTGTCCTGATTGATTTGGGGATGGGCAACGTATTAGAAAATCGGACCC